ATGATGCTAGATAAATCCTTAGAATGTACTTGTAGATTTGATTTGAGTGACCATCGGTCTTCGAAGGACTTTGGTCAAGTAGCTTTACCGGAATGGCCGAAAACTCTCATCTAGTGATAGGAACTGGAGTTCCTTCTTGCTGTCTCGTTTCCATTTATTAATTCTACTTTTCAAGGTGACACATCTTGGGAAAGGAATAGACCTCGGAAGTTTTTCGGAAAACATTTCGGCGTTAAAACGATCAAGAGCAGGATCATCACGAAACTCAAGGGAATGTTGTACGTTTTGAGCGTTTTTTTTGAGGTCCCCTGTTTGCCAGTGTTTTTTGTTTTTTTCATTAATGCGCTTACAATCGCAGATCGGAGAGGAAACGATACAATGAGGAGTCACTCATCGCATTAGGTATGACGGCCCAAATGGGAAAAAGTCCTTCATTCAGTGATTTGCAGTCAGCACAATATACCTTCTCTAGTGTTCATTTTCATTTGATGGCTACTGTCAATGGGGAAACTGGTAAGGTTTCAATCGTTTTAAGTTTTATTTGCGGATATGATTTCCTGAATTTCTTGTGAGTGCCGTCTCCTAGAAGGAGTTTCTATGGAAGCGTCATCAGCACCATTTTGATAGTAAATCTTATAGCCTGGTCAGTGTAATCGTACCGTTTCCTTACGATTTATTTTGAGACTGTATGTTGGTTCCATCAGTGGAAGGCTGTGGACCACTACAAAGGCCGCTATGTGTGCATTGGTTGAACAACAAAGAGCTCGACTTCACCGTCGGTGCGGAAAGAGTGCTTACGGAAGTGATCCATTCAGATGGTCATTCCGTCAGAAGTGGGTTTTCTCTCATTGCTTTCCAATATGATATATGGTTAACCCGAAGTTGAGTCGGAGCAGTAGCTTTTTCGTTGGTCTCACCATGTAGTGTTCAATGTTTGCATTGTTGTTATTACATTCGCTCGACCTCTCAAAAGAGATTTTATCATATTCTGTCGGGTCAATTCGGTTAAAATGGCTAGGACGATGGAAACGGGATCTCGACATTTTTTTCTGGGTGGATACTTTTGCTATCCTTGCAGAATACGTCAATTGTTAGCACGGTCATTCGCTGGCATCATAGCATAGTAAGTAATTAAGCGCCAATCCGTCTCATCCATCTGGTATACTTTGTGATGCTCGAGAGGATATTCCCTGTCCGATACTGGTGACTGAGGTATTACATGACTCTCTCCGCCTTTGAGGCAGAATTCACGTTAATTTTTTGGTAGCTGGATTCGGACGACTGTTAGAAGCGATAGTCTAAAAAAGCAGAATTTGCAAAAAACGCAAAAATTTGTTTATTTAGAGCAACATACGCTTCAAAAAAAGCAGTAAAACCAGGGATTAGACAAGAGTGTGAAGACGAAAGTTGCTTGAAAGAGGTATTTGTACGAGCTGTCCAAGTGAATGTGCCACTGCTTAAAGTAAGCTACCTACGCAACGTTTGGGTCCGGTGCGAATGGTGCAACCTCTTCAGCCTCTACAATGCCGTGAGAACGTCGTGATGCGGCAATTCTTCTAGCGGTACCATGTGCAAATCTGGGACTGTAAACTCACTTGTTCAAGTCTCTGAGACGAAAGGATAGAGGCGCGAGAAGATCTGTGATCATCACTGTCGCAGAACAAGCGTGAAAGTCGAGAAGTGTAGGCGAGCAACGTATGGACATTGATATCGAAAGGAGCCATCTTGTCTTGAACAGATTAAATCGTGGTTGATAGTGAATCCATGGTGAGCTGAATTGAAGCCCAAAACAGCTGGTAATGATGGACGGGATGCGCGACCCAACACAGCCACGTCGTTGCTTTCGCGCGCGCTGACGGAAGGCGCCTGCTTCTTGGACATCGCGAGAGGAGCGACGGTCATGGAGAGAGAGTGAAGGTCTACTTTTTGTCAGAGAAGACCTGTTGAGTTAGTAAAAAACCGTCTATTCGCAAGCTCAGTTGCCTTTCCCATAGATGTACTAGCGCACGCTTCCGAGGCATTTAGAAAAAAGAAAAATTAAATCCTTGTTCAATCAAGCTTTGTTGAGTACACAATACTTGAGTCGAATTTTTGCGTATTTTCCAAGAGGCTAAGTCAAACCAATGTCTCAAATACTATCATCTGTGTTCTCAAGTCATGCCACAGCCGATCGAAATAAATGCCTTTGGTACTCAGCTAAGATGCGCTCTACCCACTCATTAGAGAAAGTAGTAACACTTCATCAGAATGAGCCAACAGTGGCATCTACAAATGCGATCGAAAGTCTTCGGTGAAAGGCTTTTCCAGTCGTAACTTTTTCTCTAGTACAGAGATCCAAGAAATACTTTGATATGTCAAACTCACCTCGAACGAAACCAAATCATAATTTTTGCTTCAAAGAGCCTTTTTTCTAATTATGAGGCTAGCGATAATTTCATTTTTTTGCATTCCATTTGTGCTCGACGTTAGCACTTGTACACTCATTGCATGCAGAGAAGGACAGTAGTCACTCAGAGAGTTCGGCAGGCTACATTAGACATGAGGGAATTGGGCATGAAAGTCAGGGTCATTTCAAGAATTTTGAAGGGCTCACTCCAGACGATTTCTTTGATTATCCAACGCTGTCAGGTCAGAAACTTATTTGCAGTGCTGAAAGGACGGGAAAATACCGATGTATTATACTCCATCACTCCAGGAGGACGGGTCACTCTTCGGTCTTCGGGCTGACCCTCTCCTCCGTGCAGCTGACATTGCCGCTGAATTTAGCGCTAGCGATGGTACCCTTCTTAGTCGGTCGATTGTAGGAAGATCCCTAAACTGCTGCTATTTGTGGGAGGCCTCCAGCCAAAAAGTCGTTCATCTGTCTTAGAAATAGGAGAGCTAGTGTGGAGCTTGGAGCTGTCACTTCATCTGAACTTCAACTGACTGTATTAAAGTTCTTTTACAGACGAAGCAAGCTCAAATAATTTAGGAAGCGGTGGTATTATACGGTAAGGGCCCGTTCATCCGGGGAAAGGTTCAATCCAAAGTATGTCCTACCCACAGCCAAGCATGGTGGATGAAGTGTGACAGTATACGGTGCCTTCTCCTCAAACGAAGTGGCTCTTTTTGGAAAATTGACAGCAGGATCGCACACGAAAGCAACAGGAACATGATGGTCGACACCTTCTTGTACCGTGGGCATGGTATCACAGGCCAGCTGGATAACGATCCGAAACGCACCTCAGTGGTTGTGAAGGCAGCCTTCAGGGAACAGCGGACCAGACTTCCGAAGTGGCCAAGCCACTCAACGAATCTGAATTCTTTAGCGCACATGTGGGAATAGCCTAAAAGGCGTTATTACAACAAACTTCGTAGCAACAGCCGCCTAATAGGCGGAGGGAACGTCATGACAGTGTTTGCCATTCAAAAAAATAATCAACTCCATGCCTTCACACTGAAATGCTGTCGTAGAAATCGAGGCTTTCCCACCGAATATCGACGTTTTGATGTTCTACATGTTGTTGTTCTGAAATGAAGCGGTTTTGCTTAGGTCAATTTAGTCTGTATTTCCCACTAGATTTGAGTTAAATGTCACTAACGTACCGTGAACAATAGAAAATTGCAGTTTAATAGCAGTAAGTCTTCACTATTTGTCTTTGAGTAGCATACTAAAACTCCATGTGATTTCGTGAAGTCGGGAAAAAGATACTGAAGCGTTTCTACGAAGACTTTTGACCGCCACTGTACCCCTCGAAAAATGCTACTATATAAATGCCCTGAGCTGTAGATAAAAATCGACTGCACTTTGTTTTTCCCCGTTTTTCGAGATTCTAACAAGCCCGACCTCTTCGAATATGTTCGTCTTAATGGTTTCCGATGTCTAATTCTGAAGCTGCGAAACCTTTGGTCCTGGAAAAGATGTCTTTATGTTTTCTGGTATAACTCTACTCGTTTGGAGGCTCAATCATCTGAAACGCTGAATCGAAGTATTTACGACGAGGCGGCGTTCTTGGCCGATACTTTTAGCAGCGATGGCTGCTGGAATTTCCAGTAATCTGTGGTTTTTTAGTGAGTCACCTTTGAAGTCTTGGCTAGCAAGGACTATAAAAAGATATGGTAACTGTTTGCAACATTCATCTGAAAAAGCTACAATAGCTACATTGATAATCACCCCAAATTTAATTCGTTTTGGAATGTTCGATTTGAAGTTCTACAAAAATTTTACATATCCATTTCACACGGATTAGTGGAAATCATTGACATTCAGAATCTCCGACTGCGAGTCCGATAGAACTGGCCGAGGGTGCTATCTGGCATAATAGTGAATATTCAGAATCCGGAGACTGGACTAGCAGTGTTCTTGATAAAATTTACTCGGTACATGTCATATTCTTGGCAGTCTCAGTATTTTACTTATTCATTTGCATGGTTTTTAAGGAAACAACTTCCTCCAAAGACGCCCTTGACGTTAAACTTGAAGTTCTGCTGAGACAATGGAGTAAATCTAGTGATATCCTCTTCGCAATTCATCCAATAGACGGTAGTCTGCTGATATGGTGAGGTGGTACAGTTCATTTGAATTAAATGTTGGATTCGGGGAAAGAAGATAAGCGTTAGAGTGAGCTCTTTAAGACTTTATGTCAATAGTTTGATCAATGTTCCTGCTCCTCGCCATGGTTTGGATAATGTTTCTGAAAAATGGCACGGCTCAATCGTTCGACGGGTGGGGCTGGTTTTTATCTAACCAGGGAAGAATCCCAAGTCGAAGTGACCATTCGAAATGACACCTGCACTGCTGGACGTGTTTCTGGATGCTGAGTTCAAATCTGCTTTCCAAATTTGGCGAGCGTTTCTGTGAACGAATTTATGAGGGTGGATTCAGGGAGCTTAACATGAGAAAACTTAAACTACATGGATATACCTCATCTCTCAACGGCGACTTGGTGTAGTGGTAAGCGTGACGCTTCATGTGCGAGGGAATAGAATTCGTGTTTTGTGGGGGGAGGGATTCTTGCATTGTAAAGAGTTTTTCCCTTGAAGACCAGAAAATACTGTCATGGTGATTTTATTACGTTTTATGACCTTTTAATGCTTTGCTGATACCTTCTCCTATCTACCTACCTGTTACCAAGTGGGAGATTCCTCCGTGCGCAGAATTTGGAGCTCCGGGCGAGTAAACACATATGATGAGCAATAATGATGCTGAAGTGGGTGTTGATGCTAGATTGGGTGCGATGGTGCGTAGCAGCTCCGGACTCACCAACGCCGACACTGTTGATAGTGGACTCGTGGACATCATTCGAAGACCAGAAAGCTATTCAGTGCGTCTTACCTCCACAAAAGCAGGTGAAGGGAATGCCACTACTCCCTGCTCGAGGTTACCACAAGGCTAATACAGCCGATAGAGGCTCATGATTTGCTTTTAAAATGTGGTTGAACGCACCACCTCATATGTAAAAGCTCATGATCTCAACTTTTGCGTGTACACACGAGACCCCATTCTTCGCTAACTATCGCTTGTCTACTTTCAGTTCTGTGCTGTTAGATTTGGGGAATTTCTCTTCTATTCATGGCATGCCGCCGGCTACTTAAGCACTCACCCGGGTGATTTCGGGACGCCTACTCAATCCTGTTTTCCTTCTGACTTGGGACTAGTAAGTGTAAAGCAATGGGTTGTGTTGGGTTCTTTTTTAATCCGTTGCTCCCATTGTGAGAAGCTTCTTTGTTTCAAGCATTCCGTGCTAGAGTATTGATCATTAAGTGGCAAAAGTTATCCTACTGTGAATGTAGAGTGCATGGGCATGAGTGTAAAACTGAAGTATTACATTATTTGGATAATTATCAGCAAAAGCATTGAATTGTCGTAAAACGTGAGCATAAATCACCATGAGAGTATTTTCTGGTCCATAAGGGAAAAATTCTATATAATGCAAAAATCCCGTCTCCAAAAAAAAACCGATCCCTAGCCTCTCGCCCATGAAGT